AAATTAAAATGTTTGTCATTTTCAGACACATCAGGCAATTATTATTCCTGGCAGAATTAAAACCATAAGAATAGAGCGTTCTATTTTCTATTTAAAAAGAGACGAATTCATAGATAATTAACAAAGATGACTTTCAGGGGGAACTGCATGGAGGTCGATCTGATGTATATATATATATATATATATATATATATATATATATATATATATATATATATATATATATATATATATATACTCAAATAGAAAGAGACTTGGGTCTAATAGTGGGGCATTATAAATTCTTGTGATACCATAAATTTTATGTATGATAGTTACATATACACTGTTTTCTCTAATATACAGTAAACAGTCCTCTTTTTGAATTATGGGTTACATAGCTGCTACCGAATTCAGGTCATTAGTCCAGCCAGATACATACGTATAGATAGCATACGCTTTACCGACCGTCGTTAATTTGTGTAAGTATTCATAATGTGGAATGCTCTTCAGAATGTAACTTTACTTACTACTACTACTACTACTAAATTACTGGATGTTATTAGATTCGTAATTAATATATTAGCGGAGCATGATGTATGTCTAGCCACAAAAATCAATCGTTCGAGTCACAAGTTGACTAATGCAGGTCGCGGTTTTGCAAAGGTTATAGTATCATGAATTAGGTAGGTATATAGTTTTGGTTTAGATAATTATGATATATATATATATATATATATATATATATATATATATATATATATATATATATATATATATATATATATATATATATATATAGTGGGTAATATGAAATCTCGAAATTCCAGTCCTAGTACAATTAGTTATTATAATTAGAGACTTAGGATGGTATTTTATTTTTTCAGAAAGAACATGATGAACATAAAAAGTAATAACTTTGGAATTGCATTTATGAGGAATAAAAAATATATAGTACATTAAAAATCATTCCCTCACTATGTCCCAAACTACAGATTAAAACGTAGTTTCAAAAAATCTGTTTGTAATTATGGCAGTTGTGATCATAAATCATCAACAAGTTCTCTAATGTTGCATGTGTGAAAAATAATCATTCCCTCATATCATTATTTCGATAAGTAGGTATATTTATGATGACTTCAATAACATTATCATTAGTTTTTGATAGTTGGTAGTACGGTCACTTGTTCGGAATGGTGAATTGACCTCACGCTTGCTAGAGCACTTGTTGGAAATAAATATCCATGAAATTTTGTAAAGATTATATTTTAAACAATCATTCCATCACAGTATAGAATAAACAAGGTAATTAAAATATTTGAATTTTGATGAAGTAGTAAAGTATGGGTAGAAAGTGTAGAGAAAACAGTTAAATGGTAACAAGAGGTTATGGGAGATTTTTTAGGTTATGGTTTATTTTGTCATTCCCTCATCATCATTCCCTCATTTTGAATAAAAGTGAGGGAATGATTATGTCCATGGTACATGTTACTCGAATTTTTAAGTTAATATAACCTAGTAGAATTCTAAATGTATTTAAAAAATAAATGGATTTCATATGAGCAATGGTTACCATCATTTCCATTTAAAGGTGGGCCGTTCAAAACTCATTTATTCTGGGGACCACGATATTTTTCATTAATTACATGAATAATATAAATTTAAGAGAAAATGAAATCAATTAATTCAAACAATATATATATATATATATATAATTAAGTATTCTATTATTTTTTATGTTTTTTTAGCAAATGCTCAGTTTCTGTAACAACCTGTAGAATCATAGTATAGTAACATATAGTCAAAAATCATGGGCGAAACAGAATACTCTCTTATGTCCATGGTACTGCTCATGTCTATAGGCGACGGTTACCACTTTCCATCAGGTGGGGTATCAGCTTGTTTGCCATTCTAAGTTGTATAATTGTATAAAAAAAATCAAAATCTATGGTAATGTGAACACTGTGACAAATATCTAATATTGGTAATATACAATTTGCAATATTGTCGGTTTGCAATAACGAACAAGACAAGGTCATTTTAATTCATAAGAATAGCTGTCGTCGTTAAGTACTTAATGGAATTTCATATATAGCTTGTACTATAATATTTTCTATAACAATTCTCGTAATTTCTAAGTCGAAAATAGATTTTGAAAGCAATCTGTTTTCGATGAACTATACATAATTATGATGATGAAGGGGGCTTTTCAAACATCTTTAAAAATGATTTGAAAGATGGGATATGGCAGTGAATTTACAGGGTACATAGGCATAACACCTTAGATCTCAAGAATGGCAACTCATAATTATGGACGAAACAATATACTCTGTTATGTCCATGACGGTTACCACTTTCCATTAAGTGTCCTGTCAGCTTGTTTGTCATTCTAAGTTGCATAAAAAAAAGATTCTCTATTTGACGATATTTGTTGTTTAGTATATCCTCAATCCTGAACTGATTTTGATTATTCATTTTCTAATCGATAACTCTCGTGTTGGTCTCATATTATCTTTATTTTGTGACGATTAAAGTTTTTGTATTACCAAATATTACATAAGTACTTAATTAATGCAGAAAATTTAGATATTTCTGTACATTGAAACAAATGTTAACCTAGTTGATAAGATTATTATTACATAATTAAAGCCATAGCCACATATCGTATGTTGTAATATTATCATTTACCTAGTTAATATAGCGATAAGAAATTTTAAATCTCTGGGTAATAAATTATAAGCGTAGGAGTTATATTAACTATGTGGACAGGCGGCACCGCTGGCTCCCCAGTAACCCGCTAAACTACATCTGCAGAGGAATCGATTTTAAAACAACGCAGTATTATGTAGTTCAAGGCTGTATTTACCTTTGCGGTTAATAGCATCTATACAGGTACATTCATTCTTACTCGTAAATTTAGTTTGCGAATTTCCAGTGTGGTCTCTCAGTTCACTCACACATCAACATTGATCCAGTTGGATCAATTTGAAAAAAAAAACTGCTTCGGACCCGTGGTATGACTGCTACTCGTATGTTGAACTGGTTATATCATAATGATGGAAAATTGCACGTGGCTCAAAAACGGGTCCGTAACATTCACAATTAGGCAAGTGTTTAATGTAGAAAACTGAACCAGAAATGTAGGTAACGATGATTTCTTTTTGAATTTCAGATTGGAATAGTGGTTTATATCCACAAAAATCTTTGGCTATAGCTGCTATCTTTGGCTGTACTCCCAATTGCTTCAGTGATGCACCAGAATTTTTTTTAAGATGAAATTTAATGCTATATAAACCAGAGAGAGTCTTTGTATAAAAGTTGTTAAAAACGTACGTTTGCGTAGGCACCTCTGTCCCGTTCGTGTTTCCACCGTGAAGCAGTTGAGTTTGCATGGCTGTGTTTCGATTTGAAGGGTGGATTTACAGAGTACAGAAGAATAACACGTTAGTTCTCAGGAATGGCAACGCATGGGGGTTATCATGGGCGAAACAGTATACTGTTATGTCCATGGTACTACTCATGTCTATAGGCTACGATTACCACTTTCCATCAGGTGGGGTGTCAGCTTGTTTGCCAATCTAAATAGCATAAAAAATACTATTAGGTAATTAAAATAATATATAAGTACTCGTATTTTATTTAAAAAGAAGGTTCTCATTTTATATGTATTTTTTTTTTGTATGTTGCGCAATATCTACGCCGTTTAATAACCTTTTTGACATTTTTGAGAAGCAAAATCTATTTGTGTTGTTTACTCAGGTGTCTTCATAGTTAGGTATATTTCTTATTAATTTTGTAACCTTTTTTGTATTTTATATGCAATATGCAATTTTATGAATGACAATATAAGCTGAATGCCCATCTGTAGCAAAGTGGTAATCGTCGCCTATAGACATGAACAGTACCATGAATATAACAGTGTGTGTCGCCCAAAATACTCTTCATGTGTTGCCATTTCTGAAGACTAGGATGTTATACTTTTGTACTCTGTAATTGCATTGCCATACCTCATTTTTTAAACTGAAATAAAGTCATGCAAATACAACTGTTTCACAGCAGAAAAACGTATGAGAGAGACATCCAATTAGACAACTTTTGTTTCCCTATAGATACATTCGTATTTATCGTCTTCGTGCACATGAGTACTTATTAAATATATATGCTGTAAATATTTATGATAAATTTAAACTTTCCTTAAATGTTTAAAATCACCAGCAACCAATATCATAGAGATAGGTATAAGTGTTTAGTATCTAGTAACTCTATTATCATCAACATTATACCAGATGCTGTCGCTCTCAAAGTCGTTTGTATAAAGATTGTAATAGTTTTAAAATATTGCCAAGTAATATGAATGCATGAATCATAGTCTATGGCATTGTATGTTAAAGAAAATTCTGATAAATTTATATAAGTTGACGTGTTTACTGATAGCATTTTACAATAGTTGATTTTTATTGTTAATTATTAATAAATTATTTTGAATTACGTTCATATATTATTAAATTATCTAGGAATCTATTTAAAGAAATACGATAATTTAACTGTCGGCCTTCAATAATAAGGTGTTCATTACAGTTGTAGATTCGTCATTGTGTGTAACCTTAACCTTAGTGGTTTGTCTATTTTTTATTTATGCAATGCAAAATCGTGTCATACTTTTTAAACCAATCATCTATTTATAAAGGTCGTAGCAGTAGTAAATAATCTGAGGGTCGAACAATTTTTAATATTTCAAGATATATTCTGATAAGTCTATGGTGTTCTACTGGTACTAGAGAGTACTTATTTTGGTGTCTGTAGCTTAACTTGATGTATAAATTTATAATCTATATACTACAAATGTAAGAAATGTGAAAGGCTGTAAAGATATTTTGTATGTTAAAGGCTGAATGGATTTGAATAAAATTTGTTACGAGGATAAGTTACATGGTAACTCAACACATATGAAACTTTAAATGTGATGCACGGTGGCAAAGCCACGGGTAACAGTTAGTGAGTGAATAAATAAAAAAAATAAGTTATTGAAAATTAAATTTATTAAATAACCGCGTTTAACTTATTGAGATTCCCATACACGATCGGCCCTATAAACTATATGTACATTGCGGGCCGCTTATTCTATATATACAGCGCGTGAGGGATAGGCGTTGATCACAGGAAACAAATGTATTATCCTATACCGGTGCGCCAACCTCTTCCTGATATGACCTCGTGAGGTGGGCTGCGGCGGCAGTCAAGTGGCGCAGAGACCGCCTGAGACCACGCAGATGCCTTCGGCAAGCTGCAGCGGCACGCGCCGCCGACTCCCTCTCATCCTCGCCGTCGATACCGGAGTCTCCAGCTGCACTAGACGCATCACTTTCCGTGTCGCTGATATCAGATACCCTTCTGCCTCTCTCTACGTGCTCTTCAGCATCTCCTGCCCATAATAGTTCAGTCTTTAATTCATTCAGCATAGCGAACATGTTGAATGGGTCGTCGTCTCCTTCTTGCGGCAGGTTCATCAAACGGCTGGGTACAAGCACGGTCTCGTCCATGGTATTGACCATTTTGACGAACTTCTCCATGTCGTTGAGAATGCTCTGCTTAGAGAACTCAGTGTCATCATGCCGGGCAATTTTTCGCAGAGTGTTTCTGTAACAAATAAAGAAAGATATGGTCAGTTCAACTGTCATAAATTGACAGAAATTAAAAATAAAATAAAACTAAATTGATTAATATCATCATCATCATCATTATTTCAGCCATTATCCATCCACTGCTGGATATAAGCCTCCCCTATAGACTGCCATAAAGAACGGTTCTGAGCCACCTGCATCCTTGATTAATATAATTAAGTAATATTTAATTTAGACATAAATGTATATTAGAAAAAATATAAGTAATTTAATGAAAGTGTAACTGAGCCTTGATAACACTTGATTCAACAAAAATCTCATTTGGAATTCTTATTATAAATATACTAGTAACCCGCTCTCATGTAGATAAGTTACTTGCCATTAATTTAGCTTTCTATAGATGAAAGATTCATAAATTTGTTTAAAGTATTTATTGAATTTATCAACTATAACTAAAGATTGTGTTCCTTGAAAAAACTGACTTCAATTGTGACAAAAACAGTTATATTCATTTAAAAAATAAATCACTGAACTAGTTTTTATAAAATTTCTGAGACCAACCAAGAAATAAGTATAGTCTTTTAGGTAAAAAAAAAAAGAATTTTCCAAATCGGTTTAGAATTTGGTTGAGGTTTGCTGGAATTATGAAAAGTAAAAAACAAAAAAAAAAAATGTAATTGAATTTATAACCTGTATCTTTTTGAAGTAAGTTGATAAATAAATAATATTTCCTCATTATATTTAGATATAAATGCATAAAATTCATGAAGTGGCACAATGAAAATTACATCATTAAAAGCAGGATAATAGTTTAATCTGAGAAATTACTATCAATGAGTCATTTTAAAAGGACATGAAGTGTAATGAAAAAATAAAGTGAATCTTATTTACTAATTTTTACATGAATAGTCATGATATTATGAAATTTAATTTCTAAACTATTTTGTACTTTTCAAATAGTTTGTAATTATTGAAAATCAATTGTATTTTTAATTATAGCAGATATTATGGTGATGTGGTCACCACTACATTTTTTTCATCATTAAAATATTTTATAAATTGTGTTGATTTGAGTTCTGTGTAGAAGATATGGTAAGGTGTTACATATGCATATGTCAACTATTGAAGAACTAGGTTTATTTTCACACAATTAATACTAAATCTATATAATATTTATGCAATATGTGTGCAGTGATTGTGTGAACATTACTTAGAAACTAAGGTGCCATATGATAATACCTTATTTCAAAAATGGGTACTTGTTATCATTATCCAGTGTTTGCCCTAAATAAATATGTACTTTGTCACTCGAGTTATGTTATGGATGATTGGACAAGGTTTTGTATGGAACTACTATGGAACAAATCAATATAATAGGTTATATTTGCAGAATATTGTTGTTGGCTGCATAATGCTTCAAACCACAAAATATAGGAAAGTATAGAGATATTTATATTCAACAATGGTTGACCGATAACTATATGAGATGAAGTGACTGTTGTATTTATTTACTATTCCCACTTACTCAAAAGATAAACTTTATTAGTAGAATCATTTCTACAATGGTGAGTATTGACAATACTGATTAATAATAAAAAATATATAGGTTATATATATATTGTGTGAAATAAATAAGTACTTAATCCTTTTTAGATTTAGTTAAATTTGGTGGGTGGATTGACATGGGTGGTATTATAATGCAAATAAATGTTCAAATAATAGTATTGCTACTTTGTGAAAGTAAGTCACCAAGGTAAACCAGTGACAGCATGGCAATTTATATTAATAGCTAATATATGATATTTTGTTAATTATAGGTAATTAAATGATGACAAAATCACTTTTTGCCTTACATAATTAATATTATTGTTTGAACCATTACATAATATTATTGTGAAATTATTTTAACAAATATCTTTAGAATATTTAAATATATATTAGTTTGAATAGACTTAAATATACATTCAAAATAACTAGGTTAATCTATTTAAATCAATGACTGGTTAATATTCAGGTTCGTTATATACCTAGAATCTATCCGATACTTAATAATTGTTGTGCCTTTTAATTGTACTTCATTTTAATCTATTATAATATGAATTTCACAGTGAGAGGATATGGGACACGTATTACAAAACAAAATGAAGTCAAGCCAGCTAATCCCGATTGCCTGAGTCATTGATGTCCGCGCACGCCCAGTAAGTAATTCTTGGTAGTTTCTAGTAACCTCATCAATGAATAGGATCACATCATATGATTTCGAGAAAAACAGAAGGTTTGGCCTGATCTTCACGTAATTAGTTCTAATTTTGATTTTAAGAATATTTTAAGTGGCAGTAATGGTGTCATGTCTAAAAGGGTACGGCGTTGGCTTTTCTTGCAACGAAACAATTCTAGGAATGGTGTCATCACGGTGTGCAACACTGCAACACGACACTCAAGAATGCATCACGTACAAATAAACCATAACATCACAACGCCACATAACATAGGCCCTCAAGGGACGAGACAGTGGCCGATCATTGGATTTAAAAATCAAACACTTCGTACCTGCTGTTTTCTAATTTACTCGAAATATCGGTGTTGAACGACATCTTCTTGTGTTATTTAATGTACTAAATATCACTGAACACTCAAACGTCCTAAATTTTACTGATGTCACTGTAAAATCGACGCTTGCAACCACGGCTTACGAAATAACGCGACTGACGACGCGATCATGAAAACGACCGTACACAAGAAAATGATTTGACGTCTGAATAGAGGAGGGGAGACCTCGCATTTATATGATGCGATCATACGATGCGGGGGAAGCGAACTTTGTTTTATCAGTGTGTTGTAGCTTCATAATTAATACTAAATGTTTATGTATTGTTAAACGTATAATAATTAAAATACTGATTGTTGATGTATTATGTACAAAAATGTTACAGGTTTTTTTAAACCAACGTTAAACTCAATATTCGAATGAGCGTTTGGTGCGTTCTACTAAAGTCACACCACATACAAGCTTTGTGATTGGCCGTTTCAAACTGTTGGTTTTTTTTTCATTGGACACTGAAATTGGGATTTCGCGGGCTGTATTTGAAAGTCAGGGAGAAAGGAAAGAATTTTTTTATCGATATGGTTGATGATATTTTTGTTTTGATTATATAAAACACAGAAAAATAGTAATTGTTTAATAATGATACATAACTAGCAAACCTAGATATTGTATTAGCTAGTTACCAAATTATAATGCTAAATTTAGACTAAATTTGTGATGTGTTCTGAATGATCTTTAGATGACAGGACTATATATAATTATTTTAGTACACTTAATATATATGTGGACTTTCATTATGTGTACTTAAAATAATGATAGATAGTGTGTATGTATAAGATAACCAACTGAAGTGACAACCGGTTGGTCACATAGCTTGAAGAACCGATAACCGATGGGGGGAGAAAGGTTCTTGAGCGGCGACTTTGTACAGTCAAACGCAGTGTAGCGTTTTTTTGTTTCTTTTTTTTTTAATGGTATTGTAATCTTATCTGCGCTATCGGTATACATTGGCGGGGCACCAGTGATAGATGTCTGATGAGGATGAAAGCAAGTCAGTTAGCCTATCCTAACGAATTCAATTAAAATTAGCCACGATGGTTGCCAGGGGTAACTACGTGGAGATCGACCTGACAAGATATATTGCTAGTAATAGGGCTATTTGACCCCATTGCTAACAATACTTTTCTCTCTCGCAGTGTAGGGTTAACAACCGTAGTTATACTTTGATGAGGTATTAAGTGGGACGGTGCAGCCCATCTCTCGACTGTTAAGTTCCCTTAGTCACCTCTTACGGGAAAAGTAGAAACATTTATCACAATAGCTATAAATTATAGTTGACTATTGTCTCAGATTACTGAGTTATACTACTGATTATATTTTTAAACGTATTTGTTATGATAAATAATTTTAATGTTTATCTAATGTTTTGTATTAGGTAAGTTATTAATTAGGTATATACTATACAATGTTGGACAGCACATGATTATGTACACTTATATATTCCAATACCTATTAACAAAGGGAACTATTCAAAATAAGGCTAAAGGTCTCAGGAATGTAATGTGTACTCGTATTGTATGTAAAGTACCTACACAAATTGCCCCCATTTGTGTAGGTACTTAATATACACAATAGGCGATGAAAAAGTTTAATAAATTTAATACCTTACTAGTGACGTCTTGGCTTCGTTCAAGTAAATAGGTAGAAGATTTCTAATTAAAATAAATATAATCCACTTCGCAAAATTTGAATGCTAACATTCCAGTGAAAACTCGACTGGTTTTGGGATTAATTAGGGACCCTTAATCATGAGCGGCTGTGACGCGAGCGCGAGCCTGACTGGCCTAATTACACGTTAATTAAACCGGTAGTTATTATATTAAATTATGTGTGCTTAGGAAACATTTAACAATAAAATTCCAGTGAAACGCAAAAATTCTAATAATGCACTCGTATTATATATGCTGCCAAGACGTGGACATTGACGGTGGGTGAAGTCGCTCAGCGATTCATGAAGAGGGCTATGTTCGGTGTTTCTTTGAGAGATCGGATTCTAAATAAAATAATTCGTCAGAGAACTTGAGTCGATGATATAGCTGATACTAGGCTAGTCACATTTGCCACAGAACCGACGGCGTTTAATGTAAATGTGTTCTACTGTGGAGATTGCGTTTGAGCAGGCATAGAATAGGGCAAGATGGTGCGACGATTTGCGCAAAATTGCTGGGAATAATTAATTTGTGTATTAATATAAAATAATATAAAAAAATTGCGTAAAACACAGGGTCCAACAAAATGGCGTACTTTGGGACAGGTCTATGTCCAGCAGTGGATTGCAGTGAGACGATGATGATGATGAAATTTCTAATGTCCAATAACTTTTGATATTCATCAAAATACAATCTTATTTAAGAGTTTTATATGACTTTAATATTACCTTTGTCCTCTGTGCCAAACAACGCAGATGACGAAAGTTCGAGTTTCATTTTGTATTGATATTGTTGTCAACATGCTAGTCGTTGGGGGTCAAGTTATCTTGTCGTTCTTGCCTTATCATAACACGCTGTATTCGCATGAAAGGAACACTACCACACCCACATCACGTCATGTGGTGCTCAGTGACGAATTTTATCATATGATTTAGCTATGTAGGCACAACAATATGTAAGTAGATATTTACTTTTGTGCACTTTAATTTATCGCTTCATATTGAACTCTTGTACTAATATATTTTTTTTAAATATTAGACTTCATCAATTATTAGGCAAGAAGAAAATTTATCTATATAATAAAAAAGAATATGCGTTGAATGTGGATGTAAGTCACTTGTTACCTAAGGTTTTCTGTTTTTAAGGAAAAAAAAATAAAGACAAAAAATTTTAATATAGTATAAGATAGTTTTTTACATAATAGACAGTAATGTAGATAACATACATGTTAATTCTACATTATTTTCAATTATGTATGTTAAATGTAAACTCTACTCTGCATCTTTGACATTTTATCCAGACAAGTGGCGTATAAATGTACCGATAGATACGTTATTACTACCCTGTGCATTAGATACTTAGAAAAACATTAAATTTTTTTTTTGCAATGTAACTAAAATTTATGGTTTTCTGATTCTAGGTCAATGGGAAGTAATTTATAGGGTTTAATTTTCTTACAAATGTAGAATATTTGCTCTAAAGAAACGGCTGTATATTTTAGTTGCATTGACTTAAATGTATTTTTTCTTACAACACAGGGGGCAAACGAGCATGCAGCTTACTTGATGGTAAGTGACTACCGCGGCCTATGGTCACCCACAACACCAACGGCATTGCAGGTGTGCTATGTCTTTGCCTATGATTTCTTCACAGCTTCAAGGGATTGCAAATTTGATTATTTGACATTAATTTCAGACTGATACCTCTAAGCGTTCCTAAAAAAAAGGATTTCGACATACGGACGGACAGACGGACAACGAAGAGATTTTATAAGGGTTCTGTTCCTTATGAGATATGGAACCCAAAAATTATGAAAAAAAGAATGATGTTAAAAATATAAGAAATATGTTCAGTAAAGAACTAAAGGTAATGTACCACGATTTGCATAGTTTGTACAGATATGTACGCATGTGTATGTGTTGTATGCACGAAATACAAATTACGGACTTTGCACCATTCTGTTATTTTTATTATTTTATCAGTTCACGTGAAATATTGGCACGTGAAGTAATAATAGGTACTTACAAAAATAAATAAAGTTGTATCTCTTCTTGACTGTTGGCCTAATTATTTTTATAATAAGTAATTTATTTTAAATCTATCAAGTATTTTTTTTTAAATCCCAAAATGTAGGATCTAGCTAGTTTATTGATCTATATTATAATAATGTTTATGTAACGTAACTGTAGTTTTTGAATTACATACTGTTTTTTATTTTACGTTTCTCATCAGTTATTTAGTTAGAGAAATATTTATGTAGCAGATACAAAGGGATTTACCTGGTTTTACTTGACATAGTTTTTTATATAGTCATAATATCTATGTATATGGATTACCCTTACTTATATTATAAATGTGAAAGTGAGTTCATTAATTTGTTCTTATAAACAATTACTATGAAATCACGTACGATGAAGAAGTATATAAGTTATTTTTTATCCTAGACAATAAACATACTGGTCTTATAAAGCTAGTACAAAATAAAACCAAATAAAATTCTATAATCAGTACTTCCAATTAAGATAAATTTAACGACACGTTATAGTTGCTTAGGTTTTATGTTGTGCTTAATATAATATCCAGATATACGTAAAACGAAAATCATAATCATCTTTTCTTCGTTAGTCAGGTAAAATTATGAGCTCAATAACGTCTTACTAGTGCCATCTATCGAATGATAATGTTACTTCTATGTAGTATTTAAATCCATTTTGGTAATTATTGTTTTAGTTACTTGCATTTGTGATAGCAATTTTCTTTTTATAAAAAAACACAATTGTTAATGTTAAATACAAAAGGTTAATTTTAAACACCTGAAAATAATGAAGAATGTTTTTGATATTAGGTCCGCTTTGTACATTTTATATATGTATGTGTTAAAGTATAAATAGTATATTAATTAATTTGGATTAAATTTACTGGACCTCAACTCTATGTAGCTTGTGTGTGAAATCCAACTAAGAGGAAATCGAGTAAAAAAAAGAATCACCAAACTAGGTTCATAATTTGAGGAGTCAACGTGTAAAATATTATAAAAATATAACCCAGTTGAGAACTTTATATATTTTATATATATGTTAATTTGATTAAAATAATTAATTATGTAGGAAAACCTACAGAGATCTGGGTGCTAATTATACATAAACTTATAGACTGATGACGCGAACCTCTGATCTCTTGCATCAGAATCCGTTTTTCTTTAATAAAAATGAATATACATATTCACAGTAATATCTATTTAATTACATTTTAATAGGAATAAAAAGTTCCTATTTGCTATTAGTGTTTTAAATTTAGACTTAATTGTGTATTGTTACAGAAAAAGGATGTAATATAATATGTTTATGGTATTGTAGTTTATCCAAAGATTTCGGAATTGAATTATCTATCTATGGTAAAAAGGAGATTTCTTTAAGTTTACGTTCACTTTCATTGTATGATAAATCAGCAAGAACGCCTTAGATTCAAATTCTAAATGTTCCGTGTCGAGAATTAAATTCTTGTTATTGTCATGTCACGTATC